CCCTCCTTCTTGCTGTCTCTTTCTCTCTCCAGTGAGTGTGGATGCCCTCTGATAATTTTTATTTAAAAAACAAAATATGAATATAATAGAAAAATGAAATTTTGAATAAAAGCCTGAAGATAAAGTTAAAGTATTCAGAAAACATTGCAAAAATAAAGTGGTGAATAGAAGAGAAAAAAATAAGAAAATTAGAGGATCATACCAGAGTCCAACATCTGAATTACAGAAATCCCAAAAAAGAACAAAGGTGGGGAGATTATCAATGAATTAAGAACATTCCAGACCTAAACTAGTTCCCTAGATGAAATGGCTCATAACTTGTCTGTACAGTGGATGAAAAACAAGCCTAAACCAAAACACATTACTGTTTAATTTTAAAATGCTTGGTATAATGACAAACCATTGCAACAAGAAGTAAAAATGGCAGTCATGTGTAGAGAATAAGAAATAAAATTAACTTCAGACTTCTTAGCAAACGCATTGGTTTAGGCAGCTCACCAAAAGAAACACTTTAAAATTCTGAAGGAAATTTATTTCCAAACTGAAACTATATTCAGGCAAACTTTCAATCAAGTTTGAGGGTAGAATAGGGTATTTTAGTATGTTTAAGATCGTAGTAAAAGTTAACTCTCGTAAATCTTTATTTAAACACTACTGGACAATATATCAAATTGAGAAAATAACTCAAGCTGAGGAAGACAAAAGAAACACAAAAGAGAAGAACGAAAACGGGACAGAAACGACATCTCCAGCTGAGGCTGGAGGATAAACCCAGGATGACAATGGTATCTCAGGCATATTGAGCAGTAGTCAAGTTTGGGGCTGTGTGGCACTTTGAAGAATATCATCAGCAAGCCTTCTGACATCATCTTTTCAATCAATCAACCTACTGGGGGAGGTAATTTATTAAAGTCATGGAGTAAAGTGAGAAAGAAATTATATAAAATCTTAAAAATGGTCCAGCAAGTGGCATGGTGGTTAAGGCGCTGGATTCCCACATGGTGACTATGGTTTCAGTCCTGAACTCAGTGGCTTGAAACTCACAACAAACAAATAAATAAATGGTTTTTTAAATCTCAAAAATAAGAAATCCAACCAGGACACCAGCAGATGGCATAGCGGTTATGTCACTGGACTCCCACATGGTGGACTGCAGTTTGAGTCCCGGACCTGGAGGCTTGAAACTCATGCTGTGCACATATGCGTGAGTACCCAAAATCCTGAGGAGAGAATGGAGAAGGGATTGCAGCATGGCCAATCCCCTGGGGGTGATTTCTCACTGTCTCTTTATCTCTATCTCTGCAGCAAGTGCACTCACTCTATAGCAAAAATCTCTCTCAAAAAAAAAAAAAAGAAGAAGAAAGGAAAGAAAAGGAAAGGAAAAAAAGGAAAGAAAAAGAAATCCATTCAGAATAAAAGTCAGAGGATTCCCAGAACCTTAGCAAAGGGAAGTTCCAGGAAGTTCCAGCAGGCATAGAAAACAATTGCCCAATTTAAAGGAAAGTTCATGTCTCAGGAGGTATGGGAATGGTCACATGGAAAATTGTACTGAGAGGCAACTGAAAGTGTGGAAAGAATAGAAGTGATAAGAACATTGGGGCCAGCAGATGACATGGTGGTTAAGGCACTGGACTCCCACATGGCTGACCATGGTTCAGAGCCAAACCTGGGGACTTGAAAATCATGCCAGGCATGTAAGCAAGAGTGCCCAGAATCCCGAAAAGAGAATGGAGAAGGGATTGCAGCGTAGCCATCCCCCCAACAGATTATTTCTCACTTTCCCTCTCTCTTTCTCTAGCAAGCACATGCACTCTATAGCAAAAAAAAAAAAAAAAAAAAAATTAAAGATTTAAAAAAGAGAAAACCTAGTAAATGAAAAAACAAGGCAATTATTAAGTTCAAGGGAAAAAGTGGGAAAAATATAGTTAGTTCACAACAATGCTCCCAATATATTTTCAGTGAATAAAGGCATGAAAGGGTTAGTTTTATTCAATATAAGGATTTAATTGACAGTGTTTAAAATTAGTTCACTAATCAAAATACAACAGGATACAGAATAGCAGTAGAAGAGTGTAAAAAATAGCTGTATTGGGGCCAGTAGGTGGCGTGATGGTTAAGGCACTGGACTTCCACATGGCTGACCATGGCTTGAACTTCACGCTGGGCACGTGTGTGTGCGTGCCCAAGATCCTGAGAGGAGAACGGAGGAGAACGGATTGCAGAGTGGCCAACCCCCCCTTGGGGGGTCTCACTTTCTAGCTCTCTGTCTCTCTTTCTGGTGAGCGCATGCGCCCTATAGCAAAAAACTCTCCGAAAAACCAATCTGTATCTTGGGAAGGAAATTAGAACAAATGAAAAGGGGGACAGTAGAAAATCATGGTATTTTATTATAGGCTCTTAGTGCTATTTGATTTTGAACCAAGGTCATACATGATTCTGGGGGGAAAAAATGTGCATTTTCAAATAGTAAAGTGGGCCAGTGAGTGACACAGTAGTTGGGGCACTAGACTCCTACATGGCCAACCATGACCTGGTAGCTTGCTTTCTCACTTTCCCTCTTTCTCTCTCTGTCTCTCTCTGGTAGGCACATGTGCCCTCTAGCAAATTAAAAATAAATAGGAGTCAGCAAGTGATATGGTGGTTAAGGCACTAGATTCCCACATGGTTGACAGCAGTTCAAATCCTGAACGCAGCAGCTTGAAAATTACAACAAATAAACAGATAAACAAATGGGGAGGGGGGACTGGTTTCTATTTTAGAATCATTTTAAAAATAAAATAAAATAATTATTTAATTTTTAAAATAGTAGTAGAGCTCTTGCAGCTTTTACCAAGAATAAAAATGAAATAAAATCCTAAACGTTACTAATAAGAATAGGGATAAAACTAAAGGGAAACAGAATTGTGTTTGCAGCCGCCCCCGGCGCCGCGGTCGCTTTCCAACGCCAGCGCCTCCGCTAGTTCGCCAGCTCCAGCTCACAAGGGGGTAAGTGAGGAGGTTTCTATACCCCAGCTCAGCTCGTACAAAGCAGACAGCCCGCAAATCCACCGGTGGTAAAGCACCCTGGAAACAACAGGCTACCAAAGCCGCTCTCAAGAGTGCGCCCTCTACCGGAGGGGTGAAGAAACCTCGTCCTTGTATCCCGGTACTGTGACACTCCGTGAAATCAGACGTTAACAGAAGTCCGCTGAACTTGGGATACGCAAACTTCCTTTCCAGCGTCTGGTGCGAGAAATTGCTCAGGATTTCAAAACAGATCTGCGCTTCCAGAGCGCAGCTGTTGGTGCTTTGCAGGAAGCAAGTGAGGCCTATTTGGTTGGCCTTTTTGAAGATACCAACCCGTGTTCTATCTATGCCAAACGTGTAACAATAATGCCAAATGACATCCAGCTAGCACACCGTGGAGAATGTGCTTAGAATCCATATGATGGGAAACATTTCACTCTCAAAAGAAATTTTTTTTTCTCTTCTTCCTGTTATTGCTAGCTCTGAACGTCAGATTTTTTCCTCCCATGGGGTCAAAAGGTACCTAAGTAAATGACTGCGAGTGGAAAATAGGAGACAGAAATCGAGTATTGGCAGTTTTTCCATTTTCATTTGTGTGTAGATCTTTAATATAAATGTGGGGATGTAAAGCATTAATGCAAGTCAAAATGTTTTGGTGAACAAGTTTCAGCAGTTCAACTTTATAACGATTATAAATAAACCTGTTAAATTTTTCTGGACAATGCCAGAATTTGGATATTTTTAAAACAAGTAAATTTCTTATTGATGGCAAAAAAAAAAATTAAAGGGAAATAATACAATGAAAATATCATACTAACATAACTTTGCTAACAAACTAGATAAAACGAATTGTTTTAAAGATAAAGCACACATTACTTAAAAAGATAACAAACCCTGAACAGATTAATAACAAAAGGTAAAGTAGAAAAGATAGTTTTAGACCTACCACCAGCAAAGCCACCAAACCCAACCAATTTAAAAGGCAATTTATAATTAAACAGGGAGAAACAGACAATAATGTAAAAACTACTATGTTGTATAAAAATAGATGGAAAGCTTCTCAACCCATTCTATGAGGCCAGAATGATAGTTTAATATCAAAAACTCTACCATGTAAACACAAACACACACACAGTATGTGCCAGAAAAATCCTAAAACCATATTGACACATCAAATCCAACTGTATATTAAAGTAATAATGCATCATGGTTAAATGCCATTTATATCAAAGACTCAAGAATTAAGCTAAGGAATAAAAGTAGAATTTCAAAAGGTGTCAAACATCACTTTAAAATAGGAAGAATAAAGAAAAAGAAAGCTTTCTTGTTCAAAAAAAAGAGTATTTACCCCAATTGAGCTCAACCAGCATAGTCAAAGACAAAACACTAGAAGCACTTTCACAAATCCAAGATTGGTTTACTTGCTATGACCAATTTTAATAGTATTTATTGGTTATTAGGATCCTAGTCATTGATATTTGATCTGAACATTAATACTTTAGTATTACATACAATACTTAAATAAGGTGAATGGTAAAGATTGGGGCTGGATAAAAAGTGTTCCAGAAAATATTATGGGTAAAGACTAGAGTCATTGAACACAAAAGGATAGCTTAATTCCCAAGAAACTAAACAAAGGTCAGATATTTTGCTGTATAAACATCGTCATTTAAAAAAAAAGTTTACAATTTATGAAAGGTAATGAAAGATCATCCTGCGTGTAACATCATTTTCTCATTGTTTCCTGAAATTGGTCTCTAATCCTTAAAACAGCAACGACAGTGTCTGGTGAATAAAGTCAATGTTTAATGACCTTCTGATAGAAGCTTCTTTTTTTCACATATTCTTTACTGTCAATTTTTAAAGTAGATTTTTCTTGGATTTTAGTGGGGAGCCAGGGTTTAATTTCATGACCCTAGGTTTAAAAAAAAGATTTTTTTTACACATTCAGATTATCAGAGAAAACAATGATGAACGCAATTACTTGCTGCAATTTGTGATCGTTTGAGGGAAAATATGGATTAAAACAGCAAAAATACTGGGGGAAAAAACCACTCCTGTGACAGAAAACTTTTAATCCGCCATCTTTTTCTTCTATTCTTGAGAACTGGAGTGACATCCACAAAACGCAAGGTGGCGCTGCTGGCTTACTATAGGGAACAACACTCGCACAAAGGGTAAAGAGGAAACAAAACAGAAAAGCAGAGAAAAGAAAAGCCGGATAACAGGGGTTGCAGATCCCTCCTCACAAGAATTGCTGTGATTCAGTTCATTAAGGATTAGGTTGCTGCCATTTCCAAGAGCTGCTTGAGACAGAGTCAAAGTATTTTTGAAAGAAGGCTGGTCAGACGAAGAATGGTGGCCAGGGGGACGCGTGCTATGCAGGAAAGGCAAGTCTTATTTCTTTATGTATTTCTGGGAGTGTCCTGGGCTGGCGCGGAACCGCTTCGGTATTTTGTGGCAGAGGAAACCGAGACAGGTACCTTTTTGACCAATTTAGCGAATGACCTGGGCTTGGGGCTGGGGGAACTCGCAACGCGGGGATCTAGAATTGTTTCAGACCAGAACATACCATTTTTACTGCTCAATCCGCTTACTGGTGACTTACTTTTAAACGAGAAATTGGACCGAGAGGAATTGTGTGGCCCCACAGAGCCCTGTGTGCTGCCTTTTCAGTTGTTACTGGAAAAGCCTTTCCAGATTTTTCGTGCTGAACTGTGGGTCAGAGACATCAATGACCATTCTCCAGTATTTCTAGATAGAGAGATTCCCTTGAAAATATTAGAAAGCACCACACCAGGGACGGCGTTTCTCCTGGAAAGGGCACAAGATTCAGATGTTGGAGCCAATACTCTGAGGAACTACACCGTCAGCCCCAATGCCTATTTTCATATTAAAGTCCATGTTAGCGGGGAGGGCACTATCTATCCCGAACTGGTCCTGGATCAGGTGCTGGATCGCGAGGAGCTACCTGAGCTCAGTTTAACCCTCATGGCCTTGGATGGCGGCTCTCCGCCCAGATCCGGGACCGCGCTGATACGCGTCGAGGTCTTAGACATAAATGACAACGCCCCTGAGTTTGTGCAGTCGCTCTACAAGGCGCAGGTGCCCGAGGACAGCCCCGTTGGCGCCCTAGTTACCTCCGTCTCAGCCAGAGATTTAGATGTTGGAAGTAACGGAGAAATAGTCTATGCATTTTTTTATGCCACGGAAAGTATCCTCAGGACCTTTGAAATCAATTCAACATCTGGCAACCTTCATCTTAAAGCGGAACTGAACTATGAGGCAATTCAAACCTATGTATTAACTATTCAGGCCAAAGACGGTGGAGGACTTTCTGGAAAGTGCACTGTCGTGGTTGAGGTAACAGATATAAATGATAACCCACCGGAGCTGCTCATGTCCTCACTAACGAGCCCCATCGCAGAAAACTCACCGGAAACAGTCGTTGCTGTTTTTAGAATTAGAGACAGAGATTCAGGAATCAATGGGAAAATGGTGTGCTCCATCCAGGACGATCTCCCCTTCGTCCTGAAGCCATCAGTAGAGAATTTTTATACTCTAGTAACAGAGAAGGCTTTGGACCGAGAGTGGAAAACTGAGTACAACATCACCATCACCGTCACCGACATGGGGACACCCAGGCTGACCACAGAGCACAGCATAACCCTGTTGGTCTCCGACGTCAACGACAACGCCCCCGCCTTCACCCAGGCCTCCTACACCCTGCTGGTCCGCGAGAACAACAGCCCCGCCCTGCACATCGGAACCATCAGCGCCACAGACGCAGACGCGGGCACCAACGCCCAGGTCACCTACTCGCTGCTGCCGCCCCACGACCCGCAGCTGGCCCTGGCCTCGCTGGTGTCCATCAACGCCGACAACGGCCAGCTGTTCGCGCTCAGGTCGCTGGACTACGAGGCCCTGCGCGCCTTCGAGTTCGGCGTGCGCGCGGCAGACCGCGGCTCGCCCGCGCTCAGCAGCCAGGCGCTGGTGCGCGTGCTGGTGCTGGACGCCAACGACAACGCGCCCTTCGTGCTCTACCCGCTGCAGAACGGCTCTGCCGC